TTTTTCCTCCACATAGACCTAGGTATCTGAGAGAAAATCTAAATGAGGCAGACTCTTTGACCAAAGTAGGGCTGGCGTAGCAGGACTTGGAAGCTGAAAATGTTGGTAGGGGATTGATTGCAGGGATAGGTCCTGCCATTTACACTGAATAAGAGACAGGTTCTTAACTTAATTTATAGAGACAATAACTTTATTTTGTTGTAACTGAGGGATGGAGGAGAGGATGGCTAAGAGGGTGAATTTACAGAGAATTTCTGACTTACATGGAGGTCATTTTTATAGTTCTGCCATAGGATAATTCACTTTAGAGTCTCCACTCAAGCCCACATATTTAACAAAGGGGAAGAAGCCTATTATTTGGAGGTATGGGGGGAAAAAAGGAAATTGTAGACCTAGTAAATAGTTTCTCTGCCTAATATCTTATCCTTGAGACTTAGATGAAAACTTCCCGGTACTAAGGTGCCTAGAAGAATATGGCTGTTGAAAATATGGATGCGGCTTAGTCTCTACTATGTTAGTTATTTGGTTTATACTCCTGGGAAGACGGTGCATGTAGAGTTGGGTGTCAGACTGTCATCTAGATAGACAAGGTGTCTCCTGGCAACTTTGAGTGAAGATCCGTCTTGCTTCTTACAACTCCTACAGCTCAAATCTGCCCCCTGTCTATTAGAAAAAAGAATTCTCAGCATCTCTCTTCTCCCAGAGCAATTACATCCCAAATGGGAAGACACTTAACTCTCTTGACCTCATCTACTTTATTTTACTTGGATAAAATTTGGCAGTACTAGAAATCAAAGCAAGCATAGTGGGCATTTCTCTAGCCTTATCCTATTGATCGATACTTCATTTGTGCATTGCACCCAAAGCATTGTATTGAGGAATATAGAATACTGTTGTGCAGAAGATTTTATGGCCATTTAAGGAAGTGAGTTGGCAGAAAGAGACAGTAGAAAGAAAGAGATCAGCATGAGGCTGGGAGGTAGGGAAAAATAATCTCTCAGAATCTGCAAGCTGGAAGCTGAGACTGGCTTGCCATGTGTTTCAGCCACTTCTAACTCAAGGTTGACTGTTTAAATAAATCACAGCCAAATCAATCAATCAATCAATCAATCAATCAAGCAGAGCTGAGTACTGGGACCATCAGCCAAGGGAAACATTCACAATCATTTGCCTTGTGCCAAATTGACTATGGATATTGCTCCAATTGTCCACTCTTTATCCACCTGTTTTCACCAAAAGGTTCCTAATACAATCCAAATTATTTTTATTTCTAGAAACATTTCCTTGGCTGCTAAAGTAAAAAAAAAAATTTTTTTTTTTTTTTTTTTTTGGTACTGGGGATTGAACTTCGGTCCTTGCACTTGCGAGGCAGGCAGCGGAACCACTGAGCTAAATCCCCGCTTCTCATACGTGTTTTAATTAAGTTTCCCAAGGCAAATGCCATTCCTTGCTTAGAGGATAAATGGACTGCCTGCAAACTTACATTTATTGCAGCTTTATTTTAATTTTTTAATTTTTTTGTAGAAATTTTGCTGTGATGAGGTAACTCTGCTTTAAATTTTATAATTTTCCTGACCTTTACATTTATGTAAGTTAATGGTATTGAGATAGTCATTGTTTACTAAAAAGTTTATTTTGCTATTTTATTTGATAAAATAATCCACTCTTCATTATGCCTTAAAAGTGCAACACTTGAAGTTCATTCTTTTATTGTTTTCACATAATACACACACACACACACACACACACATATTTTAAATTTAAAATCTCAGTATGGTGACACCATGACACTGACAAAACTTACAATTGGCAGGGTGCTGAGCAGCTCTATAATGGGACAAGACCACCATCTACAGTCTGTTGCAGCTGCTACAAGGCTGTTGCAGGGCAAAACCAGTCATAAAATGTTTAAGTAAATGAACATGGTTGTGTTCCAATAAAACTTTATTGACAGATGCTGAAATGTGAATTTCATACCATTTCCTGCATCGTGAAATATCTTTTTTATTTTCTTCAATCCTTTAGACCCTATTCTAGCGTGACAGGTATGTGGAGTTGGGACCAAATATATTGTCATCTGTCCATGGTTTCAGATAGGAGTTTCAAGACTTTTCTCACCCACTGTTTTGCATCCAAGGATTGGTATGTGAAGACCTATCTATGCTTATCTGAAAACACTGCAATGTCATTTGTAGTCATTTTGTAAACAAAAAATGACTTGATTTAATTTTGTACATACTGTGCTTTCTGCAATGAGCAATTAAGGATGCTTTCTTTTTTATTTTATACTTTGAGAAACATTTTTAGAAGCTTAAGTGTTATGTGGCAGTGACCATTTATTTCTTTAAGTTTATGAAATTTAGGTAAATATAAACAAAATGATCCTGGGGCACTTAGGAGCAACAGAATTAATTCCTCCCAATTAATCTATCTGTAATATGGCATATATATTTCTGAATATTCAGCAGCAGCTGGCATTGCAGCTGGAGTTGGAAATGCAAGAAAGAGAAAGGCAGAGAACAGAAGAACTTGGGAGAGCTCAGGAACAATTAGAGAAGGTAATTTGAAGTTGTATAAATGCCTGTTTAAAACCTTTTAGAATTCTCAAGCTGTTTCTTCTGGTTGTCATAATAGAAAGACCACTTGATTCGTAGTCTAAAGACCTACCACATGGTAGCTGTGTGACTTACAAAATATTTGTAACCTTTTCAGTCTCAGTTTACCTGTTTTAAAAATAAGGATAGCCATGTAATATTATGAGCTCTATTTCACTGGATTACTGTGGGTGCAAGTCGCACATGTGAAACTGCCTTATGAGTAGGAAAGTTCTCTATTTGTGACTGTCAACATTTTAGTCAAGAGCTAGCTTTTCCTCATTATTGTAGCCGATGTTCAAGATTAAGTTCTTTGTGATACTGAGGATGTTTTGATCTCTGAGATATCACTGTCTCCTTTCTTCATGTTAGATGCATTAATAATAGTTTGCATTTTCAAAATGTATTTTCACATCTTCTATTAAAATAACTATGAAAGAATTTACAAGAAAAGCCATATTCACCAGTTATATATCCAAATGGTGTCCCATTTCCATTTTCTAATAGCTGAAAAGTATGTATGATACATACCAAACATCTGAGTGACTGAGTTTATACCTGCTATCTCTTAGTCAACTGTTACTCTCCTTATTGAGCCCATAATTAAATTGAGATCAGAAGCAAGTTTCATAGAATATGTTCATTGTGTTTATTAGATATTTAAAGTAAGTTTTAAAAAAATTAACTAAATAAAAAATATAAAATTTTAAAGAATAAATTCAGCTGTGTTAGTGATCAAAGATGAAAGAAGATAAGCATCAAAATAAGTGTATTGGAGAACCACTCCTGCCCCCGACCCAGCAGCCATTGCTCAAGCGCCGGGAAGGTAGGCCGGGCCCGATCCACTGTGGGAAGGAGAACCACGCCTGCTCCTGACCCAGCAGCCATCGCTCAAGTGCCGGGAAGGTAGGCCGGGCCCCATCCACCGCGGGAAGGAGAACAACGCCTGCCCCCGACCCAGCAGCCATGGTTCAAGCGCCGGGAAGGTAGGCCGGGCCCGATCCACTGTGGGAAGGAGAACCACACCTGCTCCTGACCCAGCAGCCATCGCTCAAGTGCAGGAAGGTAGGCCAGGCCCCGATCCACCGCCGGAAGGAGAACCACGCCTGCTCCCGACCCAGCAGCCATTGCTCAAGCGCTAGGAAGGTAGGCCGGGCCCGATCCACTGCGGGAAGGAGAACCACACCTGCTCCTGACCCAGCAGCCATCGCTCAAGCCCCGGGAAGGTAGGGCGGGTCCTGATCCACCGTGGGAAGGAGAACCACGCCTGCTCCTGACCCAGCAGCAATCGCTCAAGTGCCGGGAAGGTCACCGCGCGGGCGCCCCTGAACCCCCATAAGCCCCCACTTCACTCTCAGACCTCCTGATTGTGCAAGTCTTTGGACCCACTCTGCCAAGACAGAGGTGGTCATCAAGGGTATTTTTTTGAGTTCCCAACTTTGAACATATTTAAAGAAAGGGCGTGGGAAACATGTAATAGAACATTTCGGAGTTCAACCATTCAGAAGGATAGGGAACTCAATCTGGGCCTTGCAGCCCGAGGTCAGTCAGCATCATGGGGTTCAGCAATCAGCTAACTGAGAATCAGGGGTCTTGCATCCTTGCTCTGTCAGAGCCATTAAATGGTAAATATACTATATTGAAAATTTTGTTTACTGCAGACATGTTCTGGACTGCTTCTTGATTTCAATTTAATTCAAATGATTTAAGGGTGATAGACTAGTGACTACCACAGGTGGTCAGTGTCCAAGTTGTGCTTGATCTTAATGTGTTGCTGATTTTATCATTTGGGGTAAAGCATTGCTGTTGATTTGATGAGCTGTTTTCTCTGATGTTATGAAGATGAGAATGTCTGTGGGGCGTTAGAGACACAGAAGCTAGGGTGCAACTATATCAGGAAGATTTGGGTGATAATCCAGAGA